TGTCCAGTTCTGTGCGCCCCACTTCAGAAGGGATGTGGACAACATGGAGAGGGTCCAGAGGAGGGCCACCCGCATAATCCGGGGACAACAGGGCAGACCCTACATTGAAAGACTGCAGAACCTGAACCTGTTCAGCCTTCACAAGCGAAGGCTGAGGGGGGACATGGTGACAGTCTATAAACTCACTCGGGAGGACCAGAAGGGTTTGGGAGAGACCTTGTTTCCCCTAGCTCTCCCTGGCATAACAAGGAATAATGGCCACAAGTTGTTGGAGAGTAGGTTTAGATTAGCTATCCATAAGAACTTCTTCACAGTCAGGGCAGCTAGGATCTGGAACCAACTTCCAAGGGAAGGGTGCTGGCTCCTACCCTGAGGGTCTTTAAGAGGAGGCTTGATGCCTACCTAGCTGGGATCATTTGAGCCCAGTTCTTTCTTCTGCCCAAGCAGGGGGTTGGACTTGAAGATCTACAAGTTCCCTTCTGCCCCTACTTCTATGATTCTATGATTCTATGACTGTGTCCCCCTCCCTGCCAGCTGTTGTTGAGGCTGGGCAGTGGTGCGGGGGGCCACCACTACCATGACCCGGTTCCAACAACAACCACCACCATGACCTCCCCTTCACGTCCCCCCACCCCGCTTCTCTCCCTCACTCCATCCATCCCTGCCCACTACCTCCCCCTCCCTGCCAGCTGTTCTGGGAGATGTCAGGGATGGGCAGCAGAGGGGCACCATCACCGTGACCCCTGCTTCACCCTCAGGCAGGGAGGAGTGGGAAAGCTGGGGTGTATTCACCACCACCATAAACTTCCCCCATAAAGGGTCAAACTTGGGCCTGTGCAGTTCAAGCCTGGACAGCCAATCGCTGCGCACCCGCTTGGCGGCACATGCACAGTTGGCCAAAACCACTACAGACAGACATACAGACAGATAGACTAAGTGCTTTATATAGAGAGATGTAATGAAAAAGAGTCATTGCACTGGAATGATAAGGCTGCTAAAATAGAGCAATCTCTTCCCCTTCTCCAAAGTCAGCTGGATTGTTTGGAAAATGGTAGCACACGCTCACCCAAATGGATAATTAGAAATTGTGCAATCTGTTGAAATGCAGAACTGCTTTGAGAGTTCAGATTCATGACAATATCTGTAAAAGCCATATAAATATAGTGGTAACAATTAAAAAGTTAGCACTAAGAAGCCTTTACTGTGGTCCCAAACAGTGGCAATGCGACATCAGTCCCAAGCAGTGGCAATGCATAGGGGGTGCATGGGGGTGCACATGCACCCCCTGAGAGCACCAGTGCACCCCCTGACTGGCCACACTTGCTGCTTAGGTGATGGGCAGGGGGGCAGGGGGGAGTGCAGGTGCCCCCTGCAAGTGCTGGCCAAGGAGTGGGAGCACTGTGGTGCTCCCAGAAGCCGCAACAGTGATCGGCTGCCTCATGATCTGCTGCCTCATGATCAGCCACAGAGGGACCTCCTCGCCCTGATCAGCAAGATTGACCATGAGGAGACCATCCCCCGGTAACTGACTGGTCACTGGGGGGGCACATGCCCTTCTGACGAAGGCAGCACCAGTCACCCGTGGTCCCAAGATAAGGCAAAGACCTACCTACTGTAGTACTGAAAAGCTGTTATGCCAGGTCTTTTCTACAAAGCAAAATTAATATGACTGTAATATGAAGAGCATACCTAAGTTAGCTTTAATCTAACTAGCATGAGTAAAGTACCTCTGAGTAAAGTATCGAGTGGCAAAATCTTCAGCAGGGGCTATACAAGCTGTGGACCCTGGATCCACATGCATGTTGCTAGCCTGTGCTATCCTGTCTTCATTGCTATTACTGCTCATGCTATCTGTGCAAGTTACATCAAAGTTAGTATGAACATACCTACTTGTGCTAGGGTTGCAACCTCATTTTTAGGATATGTTTTTATAGAAGAGGCTAAATACTGGCAGATTTAATGTTGAACTGTGTATACATGTTGACAGGATAAAATAATGCAGGTGATGATTGTTGTCATTCATAGATCGCTGTACAATACACGTTTGCATGGGCATGCGTGCATGCACGCACATACACACAAACATACACACATTAGGAAATCATAAATCAACTTTGGATTTAGGTGCAACATTAGGCCCCAGAGCCACAAATGTATCTTCCTGTGTATACAGTTTCCCAGATAAAGATTGACCAACTTCAGCAGGTTTTCATGTAGTATTTGCTAGAAATCAGTTTTCACATAACTGAGTCTCTAAGTAAATACGTGTGTTCTATCTGGCATAGAGAAAGAACATCTCACAAGCACTTAAGAGGAGGGAAAGAAAGAAAAGAAAAAACTAAAATATTTTGATTGCTTTATTGCTTAGCCTTTTGTCT